ATTTTCATGATGCTGTGGGTACGAAGAGCATTGGAAGAAGCTATACAGTCAATAGGAAGTTTTAGACAATACATATTATGTAATGCTGACCCTTTTTCAAAGCTTTGTTTTATAATTTGAAATGTAGCAAAAAGGTGAAGTTGCATTTGTTCTTATAGTAACCAATTATGAGATGTCTGATCTACAGTATCATTTTGAAGGAATATAGGAAACAAGTATGCTAGAAAATGTGAGTTATTATTTCCTTTAATAAAAGATTTTAAATTAAAGAATGAGTTACCTTTCTGTTTTATAGTTTATGATGAAAACCTTTTTGTGTTGAATCTTTCGATGCAGAAGCTCTTGCTGTGGACACTACCAGGCAACCAACTGAAATATGTTAAGTAATAGTACTCTTTTTCTATTTAAAGTTAAGTTTCACACATTACTTCTAATTACATACCCACAACAGAGAAGAAGCAAGTTTTATTTCAGATTTCCTTTACTGCCTAAAAGGCTGTAAGCTGGGAAACACTACTATTGTGTGTATATGTAATGCTACCCCCTTTAGACCCACTGATTGTGCCCCCCCCCCCCCCTTATTTCCTGCACAACCAGGCAACATGAATTTTCCAACTGGTGACCAGACACAAAGAAACAGTCGATGGGCTTGCTCTTTTGTATTTATTAGGATTTCAACTTGGTCTTGGAAAAGGTTGGAAAAGGTCTTATGGAATGCCCAATTTGACTTGAAGAACAAGAACGGGGACAACTTCCTTTCTGGCATACTGTAGCAACAAGCATTCGACTGTATTCCCCCCAGAACAGCAACAGTCATTAGAAAAGAGATCCCTTACTAGGAGTTTGGTGTCTCCCTGAGTGGAGTTTTAGAAAAGTCCCCACTTGTAGGAGCTCTCTGTCCCCCCTTAATAGCAAAATACTAGCCCGCCTGACCACAGTATCTGATCCCAAGGCAAGGGATTGGGTATGCACTAAACAGTCCCTGAAGACTTGCCAAGAGCTTGTATCTAGCAGACTTCTCCCTTTATAGGCCCTGGGGGGTGTAGAGGTACCCACGCTGTCCTTTTCTTGCAGCTATGGGTAGAACTGCTATCAGGCCGCCTGCTGGGCTGATTATTTTCTAGGGTTTGCAGGCTGTCCTTCCCTGGTAGACTGCAGGGCAGTGGAGCTCCCTCTTTCAGCACTCCAGTCTGCAGCCTGGAGACAGAATCCCCCCCTTCTTTGGGGCTCTCCCACAGCACTTCAATGCTTCATATTTCACCCGACTCCCCTTGCTGGCCAGGCACTGTTATATTTATGGGCCACTCTGCCAGGCCTCCTGTCTGGGATTGGCCAGACTCCCATAAATATGCAGATCAGCTTCTCCTCACCTCTGCCTACTGACTTCTAGACGCTTCTCCAAACTTTTTAGAGCAAGAGGAGGTACCAGAAAACTGACTTGTAGAGCCCTCCAGCCTAACCTGAAGTAAACCCTCTGTCTAACACCCATGCTTCTAGCAAGCCTCTAAATACACTAAATAACTATCTATACTAGAGGGTGCTACATATACAGTAATTAACTCACCATCCTCCTGTACACCTGCAAGTTGGTTAACATGTTGGTGTTGAGGCAGGGTTGGTGTTGCTCTCCTCCATGTCTCCCCAATTAACTTGTTGGGCGCCAAGTCTAGGTTACACAAGAGGGCTTGCCTGGTGCATGGGTTCTTCTGGGATACATTAGGCATCTGTAACAGGATCACTGTACTACACATATGGGGTATCACTTACTCCTGTGCTGTTTTCATCAATATCCTGGGACGAGGCTGAGGCTGACGTGGAGGAATACTCAACCTTAAGGTGGGCCACTACAGTTAGAGATGAAAGTACACCAAGTACACTTGCATCACAACTGTTCTCCAGTTGACTCTCGGGTCCCCATGTAAATGTACATATTTGCAATTAGGAGGGACACACTTGGCCTACTCCACAACCACCTGTCAAGTGTTTTCTACTACCGTTCCTAGTAGAAGAGGGGGCCACACCGTGTATCTAGCACAGGCTCTACACATGCACTTAACTTGATTCTTGAGCTTCCGTACCTCTGAACAGGATAGAGACCTCTGCAGTATGAGTCTGCTCCCATTGCTATGGTAGACGGACCATGGTAGAAGGAGTGCCGACAACATCTCCCTTGCTGCTAGAAGCTGTTCCACCTTTAAACAGGTACACACTACCGACAGGCTGCAATAACTGAGTGTAGATGTCTATTACCCATGGCAACCACTGGTTGTGCTGCACAAACATGACTCTTAAGTGCTGTCTCTTCATACCCCAATATGCTAGTGACCCAACAGCTGTAGAAATGTTGGGTACTTGCATTGCATTCCTTTAAGTGGTTTCAGACCAGGTAGAAGGCAAGGTTTCAATTCTTGACTTTAGGAAAGATTTAGAGAATGCAAAGTCCATATTATAATAAAACGGTTCTTGTCCCTACATCCCTAATCCTAACTCAGGCTATGTGCTGCCCTGGCATACGTGCAAAGGTAGACTCCATGTGCTAAAAGGTCCATCAGTGGCGTTCCCCAGTAGCTGGTGTCTTCGGGGCGGACCCCAGGTCCCAATGACCTCTTACATCACGACAGGCTCCAAGAAGTTAGCTTCAGGCTAACAACCCCAAGACTCCTCTCAGCTCCGAACTATTGTCCCTCTTTTATGTCACAGGACCAGTGGGTCAGACCCAAAGAAAGCTGCCAAGCAGAAGACCCAGGAACAAACATTAACCCCAACCCTCCTACCTGGGGCACCATCTAACTAGCTAAATTGCAACACACTTACAAACAATTTAAGGAGTCCTTTAACTTTCTAGCCCCAGAGATAGAATAAGGCCCCATGCACACTGGGTGTTTAACCCCACTGCATGAGGCTCTGGCATTCAGCTGTGAGGAGAGGGCACAGGTGTCTCATCTAGTCCCACCGCTGGCAGCCTGTCAGATTCTATGGGAGGATGACAACTGCTGCGGCAGGAAGGGCCACCTAGCGATAAGAATATTTAATGTAGTATGATCCCAGGGAGGAGTGTCCAGAATGCAAGAAGTCTGCATTCTGGGCGTTCATCCCTGGGCATATATTGCCCTAAATATTAGTACCAGTGGGTGCCCCATCCACTTAAAGCAGCTGTCAGCCTCTCCTAGAGTTTGTCAAGCTGCCAGAAATGGGCCTAGATGGGCCACCTGAGCCCTTTGTCCACAGCTGAATGCCAGAGCCCTATACATCAGGGCTAAATGCCTAGTGTGTATAGGGTGTAAACTGTATTTCCTTTTTTGCAGCCAAACTGAGATAATACCTACTTAATATTTGTTAAAAGTTCACATACTATAACTTAAACTTTGCTACTTACCATTTTAAATGCTCTTTTTTGATACCTCCAGAACTGAAACATTATACTTAGATATCCTTGGTTATGAGTGAGATGGGAAGCTGCAATTTCAATAATTAACACTGTCTGTACCGTGCTGGCAGATCTCATTATCAGTTATAAACTTGATTGTTAATTTCCAATATGACATAAGAGTAAGTCCCAAAAGGACTAAAATTATCAAGACATACAGGTCAGACAAGTAAGGAGGTAACTAAGGAAGAGTAACGACCTAAATGAGAAGGCAACAGATACGTACTGTAACAATGGTTCCATCCTTCAACCAAAACAGCAACGATATAAAAAGACACAAAAACAAATAGGATGGTTAATATACCTGTGAAAGAGGGCTCAATGCCTGAGATTACCAACAATAATGCACCTTCTATTATAGTCAATGGAAGCACACCAAAACCACTTCAGTACATTTTTTATAGTGATTTTTTTTTTATCATAGTTTACATCTATACTCAGGTGACCAGGGAAGAAAACGAATGTAAAAAGCATATATGTTGCATTTATACAACGTATTACAAGCTCACTAAAACTTGATAAGCATTTTAAAAGTGCAATATGTATTTTCAAAAACTGCATATCACAAGTTAAATTGCACCAGTGTGAATAGCCCTGTGACAGACCCAACTGGGATAGGGTCTTTTGGAGGAGACTGCAGGCTAGCATCTTGCCTACTGACTATGGGCCTGGCATTTGAGAGGGATCTATTCTTTGGGAGGTGTGTACCTAGGGGAACTTTTAGAGTAGTCTAACTTCGGATTCAAGTCCATGTCCCCCTGAAACACACAGACTCTGAGAACTGGAAGACCCGGATACAGATGTGGGGCCTGTGTGCCCAAACCAGCCTTGACTGCTTCAACCCTCCTCCTAGCCTCAGAGACTCTAAGCAGAAGATTATAATCAGCTCAAAACAACCTGATGCTGAGGTCTCCTACTGTAATATTTTTACTAAGAGGTTGTGAATACTGTTGTGTCTTTCTTCCATGGTTAATTGAGTCACCTATTGTTTCTGCCTGTTGGCTAATCCTCCTGGAGGTTCCTACATGATGGGATTAGTCTTGTATCAACTTTACCTCGTTCCACATTGTGGGATGTTTATTTAAATGTGTAATACTTGTTTTTATTGTTCATGTGGGGACTGCCCCTATTTCTGAAGTGTATATAAAAACCTGCATTTCTGTTCAATAAAACAGTTCCTGTTTGCACCTAAGCTAGTGTGGTCTAGTTCTTGGATGCAATTCCCAGCTATAATACTTTGTTCCTGTGTTTCAGTGATGAAGAAGCAGCTCTCTGACGGAGGCACCCAGGTGGGGTGCCAGGCAGTCCGTCAAAGGGCCCTTTTAAGGATTGAAAAAGCTAGAGTATTCTCTGTATCGGCATGGCTCACCTCATCAAACACAAACTGTATCCTCCCTTGTAATGTGACATGCAGGTGCACACATGATCAACAAATTGCTCTATCCTCCTGATTTACTGCACGAGCACAAAGGTTGTATCTGAGCCCCATGTCACTCAGCCTGGAACCAGACTTCTGTCTGGGTTGCCTTGTTGGCTCTGCTTAGCCCAAAGTATATACTAGCAAGTCTTCAACAGAAAACAATGCCCATATTTTAATCAGGAAGCAAACTACCGTATTTCGCACTCCATAAGACGCACCTGACCATAATACACGCCTAGGTTTTAGAGGCGGAAAACAAGAAAAAAAATGGACTGCAGACATAGTACAGGAAATTACCAGAGACTGCGGACACAGTACAGGAGATGACCAGAGACTGCGGACACACTACAGGGGATGACCAGAGACTGCGGACACACTACAGGGGATGACCAGAGACTGCGGACACAGTACAGGAGATGACCAGAGACTGCGGACACAGTACAGGGGATGACCAGAGACTGCGGACACAGTACAGGGGATGACCAGAGACTGCGGACACAGTACAGGAGATGACCAGAGACTGCGGACACAGTACAGGAGATGACCAGAGACTGCGGACACAGTACAGGAGATGACCAGAGACTGCGGACACAGTACAGGAGATGACCAGAGACTGCGGACACAGTACAGGGGATGACCAGAGACTGCGGACACAGTACAGTGAATGGAGAGACTGCAGACTTAGTACAGGAGATGACCAGAGACTGCGGACACAGTACAGCAGATGACCAGAGACTACGGGCATAGTACAGGGAAAATACCAGGGACATAGTACAGATGACCAGAGACTGCAGACAGTGCATGGGATGACCAGAGACTGCAGACAGTAAAGGAGATGACCAGAGACTGCAGACCTTTGAGGAGGGAGGGGGAGCGGGTACCTGAATTTGACAGGTACCCGCTCCCACTTCGCGGGATTATGCTTCCCTCTTCTTCCAATGCCGGCTTCTGTGACAGCGGGGTGCCCACTGCGCATGCGTGAAAAGCGCTGCACTTTGTGAATGGCCCGGCGCCTTCTGGGACCTGTCTTGTGTCCCAGAAGAAACTGGACCATTCACAAAGCGCGGCGCTTCTCGTGCATGCGCAGTGGGCACCCGGCTGTCACAGAAGTCGGCGCAGGAAGACTGTACAGCGCTGGAGAGAGGAACAGGTAAGGTCATGCAGGAGAGAAGAGCTGAGCGGCCGGCCGGCCCGATATTCTGACGTGGTGGCGGCAGAAATACTGGACCTTTATATTCGCTTTATATTCGCTCCATAAGACGCACTGACATTTTCCCCCCTTTTTTGGGGGAAAAAGTGTGTCTTATGGAGCGAAAAATACGGTAGTTATCAAGCTATTAATTCAACAAGTGAACAGTAAGTCTACTGATCCTTACAGCAGAACAGTTAGAAGTTTCTTTATTACAAACATGAATTTGACAAAGTAGGTAAATGTTACTGTATCTCCCCATGACTTTAAATACTTGGGGAGAAAATCGCCCTTTAAGAGATACTTAATTTTCTTGTACAGAAATGGTTGGATTGTTTCTATTTGTACAGCTAGAAAGAGAAATGAAAATTATTATTACACTAGCACTAACAAATACTATTTTAGAAAGACCGTTTCTTCCTATGTTCACATGAAAACATACAGAACGCAGATTAGCCTATATTTGCTATTTGCCAGTAACACTAAATAAGCATATGCCACGCAAAAACGAAATTTTTACACTCTTATCTGTATATTTAAAGCCCAACTGAACTTTACATTTAATATTTGTTAAATACATTCCAGGTGCATCAAATCAATGGGTGTGCAAAGTCTTGTAGCTCATTTTCTGTAGAAAGAAATATCAGCCTGAGTAGAAAAGCATACTACACGTTCCCTTGATCTCTGTGTGGAAGCAGTCATCTCTCTGCAGAGGTCTGACACAGACCCTGCTAAGTCATACCCAGGGGCGGATGACAACTCATGGGGCCCCCGGGCAATAGGGGATCATGGGGCCCCTGTGTCCATGCCCAAACTCCAAAAAGCCTATGAAAAAGGTACCAGGGGCATCTCATAGGGCCCCCTACTGACCCCGGGCCCTCGGGCAGTGCCCGAGTTTCCAAATGATCAGTCCGCCCCTGGTCATACCCATAGTTCTGCAATCAGAAAAATCTCATGCTGCTCATGCCTGTTGATTGGAGAACTCTAGCTCTCAGCAGGGGATGTGTCTGACCTATGTTTTAACAAAAGTTGCATCTTTTATATGGTAAAGTGGATCTATACTCAAAAAGTAAATCTTTTATGCTATAGGGAACATCTATAAATGTTAATTGTGCCAAAACAATACCAAAAAAAGTACCTTTTGTATGGCATTCCTTCTGAAAAGTAGTGTACTTTCTGGCACAGGAGGGTGCCTAGGCATTACCTGCTTTACAGCCTTATAGCTGTACATCTACAGTGTGAAACTAATGCCAGCCATGGATCGAATCTCAGCCAGTTCAGCAGGGACCGGCCTAAATTCGATCCATTTATGGGCAGACTGCTTGTACTGAAGATGATCTATCGATCAAGTTCAGTACAACCAGCCTGTCTGATGTTTTCAAGCAGTCACTGCTGGTGGCTATAGCTGCCAGCAGTGATCATTGTGTTCTGCCAGAAGGGAAGGATTCTCACTGGCAGAAGATAGTTCTCTCATCAGCACTGATTGTGGTTGCAGGAAAGAAAATATCTTAATATATAGCCAGCCCAAGGCATTGTTGCCTCTGACTGCTAGCTAAAGGAGATCTGAAGTGAGATTTGGTGATACCTCCACTGTGCTGCTCACTGTTGCTCTTGCTAGATACACTGAGAGGAGGAAGCCAAGTCCTGTTAACACAAAGATGACAGCCTCCATGCAGAGACACAGTTGCAGAGCCAGTCATTATAAGTATGGAACTGGGAAAGGATCTGGTGCAGGACGTATACAGGCAATGCTGGTGACTGGTCATTTGCCTTCTCTCTGCCTTTCTTTGGGCTCAACCCTAAGAGTTCAGTTCCTCTATAGAGAGCTAACAAAGTGTTATCATGCTTGTAAATATATAGGTTTCAATAGTTAAATTACTAGCTATGGACCAAGGTAGCACTCTTCTTCTACAGTTACAAGATGAACATATATGCAGCACAATATTATCCTAGTTTGTGTCACAGGTCATCACATAACGAGTTGCGTGAGCACAACTGAGACAACCAGGACTCTTGAAGCCTAAACATCTATACAGGGGCGGACTGACAACTCATGGGGCCCCCGGGCAATAGGGGATCATGGGGCCCCTGTGTCCTTGCCCACACTCACAGCACACCCAAAAAAGCCTATAAAAAAGGTACCAGGGGCATTTCATGGGGCCCCCTACTGACCCCGTGCCCTCGGGCAGTGCCCGAATGGTCAGTCCGCCCCTGCATCTATAAGATGTTTAGAGAAGGGATTCACTTTTAGTTATATCTTCCTCTAACATATTTGCTGAGTTTTCTTCATTTTCTCAGCTATATTGAATTATATTCCTTCCTTGTTTTTTTACATTTTGCCAAGGCAAATTGCTAAATGTATCATTGCTTGCTAAGACATTAAAAACCTAATCTGTGATCTGACCAGATACCACGCGTTCGCTGTGCGATCACATCACTTAGTAAACAACAACTACGAATGGACTCCATTCATGACATCATTATTTACTACTGTGTGTGATCTGTGATTGTTCACCAGTGATCACATGGTACCTGGGCCAATCACAGCACAGTGCCAAACTTTTTCTCATGGAAAACTTACTTTGAAACTTCAGAAGACCTCATTTTCAAGATGATTAAACACATGATTACACAATGACACAAAATGGAAACTTACTGAACCTTTATGATATCCTATTTAGTAGGATAGGTCCTGTACAAAGTTGGAGTTGCACAGCAGTTTTTTATGATCAGCACAAATTTGGATGAATCAGAAGCCCCATGTGCAATCACACCAACATACATCTAGATGTTAAAGGGAGACATACTACTGGACCTGTATATGCAGCAGTGTAGGTAGAATCTTGGAAAAGACCCATTGTTATTGTATAGTTTGCAGTTCCACCTCCATCACTCACAGAATACCTGTAATGAATAAAGACTGTTATGAATAATCTTAATAAAAGGATACTTAGGCCCCTTTCAGACTGAGCGGACCCATTAGCGGATCCTCTTGCTCAGTATGGGATCTCTCCTCTGATCCCCGCTGAGAAAGCTGATGACAGGTCTCTGTCCGCTCTGCTGCTGCAGAGCGGACACAGACACAGCGTGATGTTTTCTATGGAGAGAATGCCTGTCCATTTCCATGTTCTCCGCTGATCATCTCTGTTTCCTAAACCACTAATGATCTGAAATCAGCAACGATCTTCAGAACACCTTTATATGTCATTGTTAATGTTTTGAATTTTATTCGTTGGGCAATGGGAAGCCAGTGGAGGGATTGGCAGAGAGGGGTGGTAGACACAACTCCGTGTCAGTTGTTAATATGACAATTCTTAATGACCCTGTTTGCCTCGTGTGGAGATCTGCTGCCCTCTAGTGTCTGAATATGTAAATGCCTGTAAATATATTATGTATGCACTTGCTGCCCTTAAGTTGTTGGCTTTGAAACCCTGGAATGAGAAAGTAGAAAGCGAGAAAAAGTCTGAGCCACGTGTCCTGTCCATGTCTCAAGCCAGAAGAGACTATTATACACTACTAGGGAGTAGATAGGCTGACTGAGTTCCAGTGGCACACTACAGCTCCTGCCTGTGATCAGTCACTGCTGATCTTGTTGGGAAACCCCTCTGAGAGTTGAAACATTAAATACTGTTTTTAGTAGCTGTGCTTTATCTTACAGAATACTCAGATGCAGTTAGATGCTGCTTAGTTAATTGTCCCCTCTGTTCAAAGTTCTTGGTCGAAATTTCGTTAGGTTTGAATGTTCATCCACGAACCGTACGGTGGCGTTCGGCCCATCACTATTCAGCACCTGGCAGTGCAGCCTTATTAGAGCAGCCTCATCAGCATCAGTGCCCCAGAGTCCCCATCGCAGCAGTATGTCACCATAGCCCCTAGTCCCCACCATGGCTAAAAAAATTTTATTTTTCCATTGAGGAGGTATACCAAATCCTAAGCATGGCCGTCGAGAGCAAGGAGGAACTCTCTGTGTCTGAGTCTGATTACAAATCTGTTTTAAGCAGTGAGTCTGCTACAAAATCAGAGGACGAAAGTGTGCCCACCAAACAAAGGCGTTCTGGCGAGGAGCAGGCTACCACCAGTAACCCAGTGGCATCCTCCAGAAATGGAGTACCTCTGCAAGAAAGGCCAGCTACTGGTAGGGTGTCACCTCAGCCCCAAAGGGTTAGGACCAATGCCAGTCTTCCATATGCCCTTGCAAACCTCTATGGCTTCCTCCTAACTCTGGAGCAGCAAACATCCCCCTTTTTACTGTCCAGCCAGATGTCCAGGTGAACACGGAAAATTTTGCCTCCATTGATTTTTTTT